TGACAGGCGCACAGTCGGATTTGCCGGCATATGTACTAACCTTACCCAAACCCCCATTAAAACACGGACACAGGTTATATTGTTGGAAATAATTTGTCCACAGCTTTATTAAATTATTAATAAAATAATTAAGGAATAACACATGGGATCATTGCCAACAAATCTTAATAACGTTAACATCCCCCATATACATAACATACCCCTAGCAATGACCCCACAATAATAACAATAGATAACAATCTAAATAACATGTTAATACAGAAACTGGCCGCCCAATTTGACCACATTTCCACCAGGTTAAATTGTAGGGGTGTACCGAGACACCGCTACCCACCATATCCATTGTAGGGGTGTACCAAGACACTGCTACCCACCATATCCATTGTAGGGTTGTACCAAGACACCGCTACCCACCAGTTCCAGTGTAGGGTGTACCAAGACACAACCACACCCCCAGGTTCGGAGCCACCGACGGGCTCGAACCTACCAACCACGTGCAACACTGCCCAATCCACACTAAACCTCAGGATGCCCACTTTCTCCTCCATCTACCCTCCGATTTAAGCAGGCCAATTTAAACAGATCACACCTTACATCCGAAAACGTACCTCATCCCACCTGGAGTACCCAGGGAGCTTTCCTCCCAATTAGTTGTGTCTCACTGTTACACCGCCCCCACATCTGATAAATACCGCCATCAATTTTGTATTAATTCGTCCTCGACACCGAGCTACCATGGGCGGGTACGTAGTATGTCTCCAATGTAACCGAGGAACCATCTCAGACCGCACCACCACCACACCCGTGGCCAGCTCCCATAGCCGGTCCACCTCCCTCTGCCTCCACCTGATCAATTCCTTTTCCGGGACCATGCCGATATCCAGAATGTCCTGGACAGTACCCCTTGTTACCTCCCGGAAAGTTTTCTCCCATAATGTCTTGCCACCAAAATCCCTGAAAACCAAAACCACTCCAGCCCCACCAATTCCAGAGGAAAGCCCAGTTGCGCTTGAACCAAAATGCGGCTCCCATCTGCGCACCTTAGATATATGTCACCATGTCATGTCACATGTCAACATGTCACCAAACCTGAAACGAAAGTAATTAGCAACAAGGCATAGCCCCAAACACAAACCCATATGTCCATAGCCATTAAACCAAATAGACCGGCCTGAAACAGGACTTAAACTGTACTGATTCCCACCTGCCTAAACGTTTCCCTAGGTCCTCACTTAAAACCAGGCGGGGCGCCTCTGTTACCGCCATTATCCGGGAAGAATGGGTCTCAAATTGCCCGGGATCCAAACCCAACATTGTCAAACCCCTCCGAACAAACACCTGCGGGAACTGAATCGTGACAGCACCGATCTGTCCCCTTTTACCAGTAAGCCACCCGGGATGTCCGGGCAAAGCTCCAAGTAGCATGATGCACTTAACGCCGGGCGTACCCCTGACGCCGGCAGGGAATATAGCTTTACCAAACCTCCTTTACCAGACAGATCCGTTCTTGAACAACCCTACCGAATCGTTACTTTAACCGACTGAGGTTCGACAACCAAGTGTAGAACCCCCCAACACCTGCCCGAAAGGCACTCACTAGCTCCCCAATCCGAATTACCCCAAGCCTCCGAGAAGGCCACCACAAGCAAACTCACTGCAAAAGTAGAGTAACACACCACCAGGCGTTGCGTTACCCAAGGAAACCAGCCGCCCGGCACCGACATATTTCATACCTCTCCGTAAGACCCGCGAAGCCTGATGGAAGTGACAACGTTCCGTCACTTCCTCCCAATCGGTCAGTTTGAACCCTAACTACAATGCCGCCATGCTCCTGTCCATTGCCGATGGAGCTACCGCTGAACAAAAAATCGGCTTAGGAACCACAGCAAGGTATCCCTTCACCCCTCCTTTGACTGGGACCCCCCAGTGAAACCAACCGCCTTGTCCCACATATCCCAAACCTTCACATAGGCAGTCCCTGTGCCCGGTGCCATAGGATTCCGTATCGATCCTCCAAGCATGGAGTGTCGAGCTTCCACATTTCCTCCAGACCGGACTGTCCCTCCTCCCGCGCCCCCTGGGGCCGCCATTCGCAGCTTGTCCCCTTGTGCGCGAGCCAAGTAACCAGCCCCTACCTTCCGCCAACCAGGCATGTGGCGTGCCTGCACCCGATACCTGAACAGTGATACGAATCACCGCCATCGGTGTACCTCCTGAACCGAGGACCCGGCTGGATGGTAAACCACATGAACCCCGCCGTATTGTGCGTGAATTATGACTTTTCATCCCTTAATCCTTCACCTTTTAGAGCCACATCCACTCCCAATGGAAATAACTCAAAAGATGGCAACTTCGAATAAGAGGACTTACCTTTCATGCCTCCCGCCACCGCTCCGCGCACCAACTGCCTTCCAGGTATGCCCCGGAATCTATGTTCCCTGAGGCATCCGTGAACAACTCGATACCACCCGCAAAGGCTCCACAAGTAGCCTTCGCCATGAAATGGCTACCGACCCAGTCCTCGCGACTAACCCGACATGCAACTTGAAACTGCCTTATGAACAACTTTGATTTCTCAGCGTGACCTTCTTGGACCTGCGAACCTTCGGCCTGAACTCCCGAAGTGCAGTCAACTGAACCCCAGGCAATCGACACTCTCCTACCACCGAAACAATTTCCAGCCCAAGACATGCAGTAGGATTCCCGCGACCGTAAGGTATGTCCACAACGGCCCAGCCAAGCCCACACAGCAAGCTATCTTACAGATAATGTACTAAGGAACCCCTTCCTGATTCCTCTTTCACCTCCCACTCCCAGACGGATCCAACTTCCCGAAGTAGGAACATGAAATGGAACTGCCCTTTGGCAAGTAGAGGTTACCAATAGGAACCTGCAAACATGCAACCCAAAAGATGGAAGGGTCGCCAATAATCAAACGCGTCCTGTTCCCCAGAACCAACTCGACGGCAAGGCCGAATGATGCCAATGATACAGAACAATTCCGCGTCGATGTCCTCATATACTGATGCCCCTTTCGGGTGCGATAAGTTTTGTATCGGACGGAATTTGCCCGCCCCTTTCTAGGGGACCACCCCCCATGGAGACACCCACAGATCCGCCAATGGTGGGGATGTAACGGACCTGCCATCCCCCCAATTGGGCTTCCTTGCCTGACCACTCACGAACCAAAGTTCCCCCACGGACTTGATATTCGCCCACCACTTTTCCTGGTCCCTCGACTTTGAATGGAATAGCGTAAACCCCCTCAACAATCCCAGCCATAAAACTAGCCCTTCATGGGAGGCTTACTGCCTTAGCCACAGCAGCAACACACCGATCGTCACCGGTGCCGCTCTGAGCCGCAACCGCGGGGCTGAAGCCCCGCCGAGTACCCTTCCTGCCTTGGGTTTTCCTTTCTTGACGTGTCAGTTGACACCGTGACTCCCACCGCCTCCGGAACACCCGTATCGAAGCCTACTCGACGGTCCCCAGTTGCACTGACCTTTCTTCTGTTCAGCCAGCATCGCACCACCTGGGGGCGCGCCGGCAGCCCCCGGAAAGAGCGCATTTCCTGCACCATCATTAGGAACCACCCCTTTTAAATCAATGAACTCCTCGAGCGGAAGACAGGAATTTTTTTTTTTTTATTCCTTTAATCAAATCTTATCCTCCACCTTCAAGTGCCCCCCCAATGTCCCCGCGAAGGACACGTGCCCATTTCGGTGTGCCGCGCCTGGAATATTGCCACACATCTAACTGTTCTCCTGCTCGTCAGATGTCCCCGGTACCGGTACACCGTATTCCCCTTCCCTTACCTGGCACGCCGTCACCACCACCCTTACTTCGGCCTCCCAACCGCCCTCCGGTGACCCCACCCTTCCACACCGCGGGGACGGCCCCTTTTTTCCTTGATCATGACTAAAATGATTTTTGCAATTTAAAAAAGGTGGTGTGTTTATTGACTCAACGCCCGAACCCCTGTCTGCGCTGTCCTTCCATCCACCTTGCCGGGCTCTGGAGTATCCAGTGGATGCCGACTCCTGTCTGCGCTGGTCCCGCCTCAAGCCCGTAGGAGTAACACTCCTCGACCTGCTCCTCCATCCCTCACCCGACCTCCCGCTGCTGCTGTGCCTGTCATTGTCGTTGCGCTGCTCCCTCCCGTACTCACACCTGCTGATGCTCCTCCTGTGTTCCTGCTCCTGAGAACGCCCCCAGGGAGCTCCCGCTTGCCTCTGTGCCTTACGTCCATTTCCAACCGTCCATGTCCTCTCTTCTGCCCTCTGCTTGCAGTACCTGGCCTCTCCCCGGCCGCCTCATCCACTTGTGGCCCCTTTAATTAATCCTGGTTGCTGGCCTTCCCCTCCATAGCTGCTCTGCTGCGCCTGTGAAGACTCCTCCTGCTGCTTTCACTATCCCCTTCCTTCACCTCTGACCTGACCCTGGCCCCATCCAGGGCCGCCTCCGTCTTTGTCCCGCCGACCTGGACCCCCCCACCTGCCCATGGGGGGGGGGACCGCTTTTAAACTGCTGGCCCCTTGCATCATTCCCCCCGTCCCTCGGGTATGCCACCAGGGGCAGACTCACGGGACGCCTCTTGCCGCTCTCCCTGCCTGGCGGCCATCATGTCATGCTGGATTCCGCTGTCCTATGTGCTTTCCAGCCCCCCCAGCCTTATTGCAGGGGGCGCTCTTCCTGTGCGGCCTCATCCTGGCCTGCCACCTTGCCTGACCGGCACTGCGTTGAACATACGGCGCCAGCCGCCCTCCAACTCCTGCCTGCTTTCCGCCTCATTTTCAGCCTTCCCCTTGCCGCCTCCTGACAGGCTCTTGGGCCGCCGAACTAACAATGTCACTCCCAGGCTGCCACTGGGGCGGCCTCCCCCTCCTTGCCGGCCTCCGTTCCATTGCCGCATGGGGGGGGTAGCAGACGTGCTTGGGGCCCCCCAGCTGCTCCTGCAGCCACCAGCCACGATTTCTGCAACAACCTTTGTGACCAGGATGGTGGCTTGCTTGGAGTTCTGTCTGAGGCTGATGGGAGTGAGCATGCAGCAGCAGAAGCTCACTCCAGCCTCTCCTGTACCTCCATGCTGCCTCTTGTACCTCCATGCTGCCTCTGTTCTTCTATGCTGCCTCCATGCTGCGGCCTTCTCCCTCCAGGGCAGGAAGCTTTCACAACTGACAGGTAAGCTTAGGTTCAGTTAAAATGGCCACTTCATATAATGGCTGGTATAAATACTCCCCTTATGGCTCCGCCCTTCCCAGCATGCTAGCTGTCACTAACTTCCTGTGGCTGCTATGCCTACCTCCTGGCTCTGTCAAGGCCTATTCCTCTTAGCTGCGCTGATCCATGGGCTACATGCATGGAATGTAGAATTCCTTCTAAAGTAGGGCTTGTTTGTATGTGACTCGTGATCCTTATAGACCCTGC